GCATTGGAAGCACGGAGCAGCATTTTCTGCTATCCATTGGCAGAGCAGGCTTTGTCTTCAGCTTTGGGCTCCCCAAAGAGTCTGTTATTCAGACATCAAATCCCTTTTTCAAAGGGACATGTAAAAGTGATCCGTTTGACAGGTGCGTTTTGGATACTCGCTCCTCACATTGAGGTGAAGTGTTCCCATGAGCAGAGGGATAAATCTACTGCTTCAAGCTCTTCTGGGAAGATCTAGATCTGAAGTTCAGCTTCTCTGTTCGCTTCAATTCACTTGTTCAGCGGTAGTTTCCTACCTGTTGATTGTGATACAAAAATGATAAGTGGAAGAATACTTCTTTTGACCCACCTTTCTGTTTCCTCCTCCATGTCTTACTCATCTCAACTTCACAACAATATCTAGCAGCATTTTAAATTCCACAAACATTCTGCAGCTTCCTTTCAGTGACATGATAACCACTGACTCCTTAATTACAGGGTGATGACTGTGCTGTGGTGTGGCTGGGCAATTACAAGGTGTTTGTGGTTTATCATAGCAGGGTTCTTCCTCTCCCCTGGACAGCAGTACAGGTTACCCTTTGGGATCTCCTGAAGTTAATTGCATGCTAATCCACAGCAGCTTGCTAATATTATGTATCTGGACTCTTAAGGCTTACCAAATTATTTTTAGTGATATGGTACTGGACAAGTTAAATGGCTGTGCAGTTTAGGGAAAGTTGCAGACTTTCTGTACTTGGAGATCTCACCTATTTCCCAGTCCTTAACACGAGTGTCCTCCATCCCCAGTATCGTGGGACCGGCTTGTGTTGCTCCCTTGTTCCCTTTGGGGGAAGCCTCGACCAGGGTGCTGCAAGCACTACTCTTGCCAGTACCAGTTATTATTAATAGTATGTCTTTCTGGTCCTCAGATGTTTATTCTCCGCTTTGTTTAATGCCTTGGAGCACGCTCTGCGACCCAGAGAGCTCTCTGGGGGACCAAAACATGGTTGGGGGCAATAATCCATGTGGTAACTAAACATTTTAACTATGTTCTTGGGCAACCTGAAGTCCCCATCAGGACAGATACAGTTTTCACAGTTTTTTGCTAAGGCTTTTACCTTTCTTAACTGTCTTATAACTACGGTTCAGACCATCCTATAAATCTACAGTTCAGTGAGAGCCATCTTGTCTTGAGGTGTTACTTCTGTGAAGATACTTTAGATTAACTGTTTTGTCTGCTCATCTTTTAAAACAAGTAAAATACATTATAGACAAAAACATAGTCACGAAGTCACTGCAAAGTGTAGGACTTGGTCTTCTGTCCAATAATGAGGAAAAAATCCAACACAAAGTCTGTGACTGGGTCCACAGAGTGTCCACCCAACTGATAGTGCCTAAATTCAGCTGAACTTTCTCTTTCAGCCCACTTGAGCTGAATGTCAACCTTTAGGGCCCTTGAGTGTTAGGTCCATGCATCACTTGAATCTTCAGCAAGCCTTGCTTTGCCCAGCTGAATGGTACCAATCTGGATGATGGAATCCAACCTGAATCCCACACAGATGTACTTCAGCTGAGACCAAGAGTGTGAAAATGAAACATTTTTGTCACCTTTTTCATATTTTTTCTCTTTTTGCCTTCCTCAGGTCTCCCACGCTCACTGGCTTTCTCTGTTGGACAGCCTTCTATCATTCATGCAGTAGTTAGGTATTTGAACATTTTCAAACTCTTGGTCCAGTCTCCTTTGGGATCAGCACAGAAGAGCATAACCACCTCTGTTTGCACAAGCTTTTTTGAGTTTGCAAAAAACCCACCAAACACTAAAATGTTTGGAATCGCATCCATTTGTAGCTGTAGATGTTGCAGCAAATCCTGGAAATGTGGCAGTACAGGCAGTATGCAGCTATCCAATGGATCAGTAGTGTAGATGTATAGAAATTTAGTGTGTCTCTACGTGCATTTGTCATAGTGACAGGTGAAACAGAGTGTGTAATAGTAGCGTGCCTTAGGAAAAGGTCAAGGCTAGACATGACAACCAAGAGGTTTAGGATGAATGTATTCTGTCCAGTTCTCTGCTGCCCACCACATTGTGTCCATGTCACTGCAACTTGTACAAAATGAGTGTGGAACACACGGCAGAGTTTGCTGTTCCTTCTGCACAAATGTGAGATGTGAAGCAGAGAGCAGCCAGGTTTGGTGGCCTTTAAATTATACAAAATTTTCCAAAAAATCAACCCCACCCAATTCCCACCCTCCAACCCCTCTCAAACATTGGCATTGATTTGAAAAGAAGAACCTGCTTTAGAAAACATGTTGACGTGTTCCGTAATGATTAGTGCTCATTTCCCCCGCCCCACCTAAATTTTGAACAGCATTGCAAAAGAAAGCAAATATTTCTGTGCAGCAAAAAGCAGTTCCTATGGAAAATATAGTAAATAAATCTGGACATCTCCAAGCTGCAAATAATCTTGTGTGTTTGGTGATTGGGAACAGCAGAGCTCACTTTGATGTATGATGGTAAGTATGGAGAACTCTAATGTTTATATAAGAAAAACTGTCTTTAGGTGAGGCTTGTAGCAGGAAAATTACTAAAAATCAGGATACCTGCTTTGGATAACTGCGTTGTTGATTCCTTAGGTAAACTACTTTGCTTGGTGCCATCTCTGCGAGATTAACTGCAATCTTACTTGCAACCAGTATCAATCTGAGAGCAGATGCTCCAATCAGTGCTTTTCTCAGCACGCTTGTTGTTTCTAAAACAGCACAGAACCACAGCAGAAGTGAAATTTCAGAAAAGATCGCAGGCTCGAGGAAAACTTCCAGTGCACTTTGCACTTTTAGCTCTGCAAGGGAATCATGGCCTTGCCTGGGTCAACTAATCGCCGGTGGTTCGGCTGCAGACCAGAGCCGCCAAGAACGGTCCTGGCACGGCAGACGGGCTGGCAGGCGGTTCACAGGCGATGCTGACAGACAACGTTGGGTGTCCCAGACCACGCTCAACGTCACAGGGATTAGGAGCACCGTGCTGGCAGGCGTTGGGGCCGCACTTTGCCCAAACGCCCCCTCTGGGGTGGGTGAAACCAGGCAGGGAATATTTCGCCTGTAGAAAGTGAACAAATGTTTTTTAACAGGCTTGTGGAGCTGCTGTGTGTTTTGAACCTGTGAGGAGTTGTTTCAGAACAAGTGTACCTTTTTTTTTTTTGTAAATTTTTATTTTATTTATTTTTCCTTTTTCCTGCCTAAACTGTGAATTCCATATCAGGTACTAACAAACATGGCTCATCTCAAAAGAATTCATAATTAACTAAAAGAATTCATAATTAACTTCCACTGCAATTTGTTTGGATCTTTCTTTACATAAGGTATAAGCACTGGTGGGAATTTGAAATGCTCTGAAGCATACACTGTCTCCTGTGTAACTGCTGCTGAGCCTAGAGAAAAGCTAACCTGCTGTAACTGCACAGTGTGTGTGTTTATATATTAGAGATCGCTGACAGACCTGTTTTTCTTTTTTCTCTTTCTCTTCCTTGTCTTCTTTCTGCATTGGCAGAGCATCTTGGATTTGAATTAAAGGGTATGGAACAACCATTCATTTATTAATCAGAAGCCATTAAGAACTGCCCACATTATATTTATGGCTTTAATGGGATGATTAAAAAATCAGCTGTTCTGTTCTCTTCCCTGGCACCAAGATAGATGTTTGGATTGGAAAAAAACAAACAAACAAACAAACAAAAACAAACCCCAAACAAACAAAACCAAAACAAAAAATCTAAATGTAAACCTGTAAAAATGCATGTGTATTTTTAGCAGCACTTTTTTCTTTGTTTCAAGCAGCAGCCTGGTGTGTGTGGCGTGACTGGGATGTTACAATTGCCATACGTCTCCTCATTCAACATGCTTTTGTGTATTTAACTGAAAAGCTGGAGCTTGTGTCCATCCAGAAGGTTGCCAGCAGGCACCGCTTGGGAATGGGCAGGCGTTGCAGGAACGGGAAGGCAAGTTTTAGGAAGATCAAGGCTTTTGTAGAAATTGGCCTCCTAGACTCTCTAACCTCCACTGGATCCTACAAAGGGTCAGGACGAGCTTTGCCATTCCTCCTCCTAAAGGTTAGCAGCTTCTCTCAGTTTTTGACCAGGAGGAAATGGTGCTGAGAAAGGTGGCATAGGATGAGTTAGTCCAAAACACAGTGAGCCCGGGAAGGTCAGCAATCTCCCATTAGAGTGGAGGGTGAATGTTGAGTGTCCTGGGGACAAGCTGAAGTTTGGAAAAAACACTGCAGTAACTTAAATGCTTTTAAAAATATCCCCTTTGGGCAATTGCCTGCTCCTGCCCAGTTGCTCATAATCATATTACTTTTCTTCCATTCTCCTCAGTCTATTTTTAGAAATGATATATCAGGTATCTCTTGAGTAAGCACCTGGGAAATCAAATCTCTGAGGCTACATTTCCCTTGAGTGTACCAGCCAGCTGCAGGGAGGGCTTGGGCAGATGAGAGCAGAGAGATTTATCTTTGTCACTTAACTTCAAAACATTGACCTGGCAATGTCAACCAGAGCAGATCTTCACATGAAGATGCTTCAATTCCATTTCCTAGAGGTATGAGGACACCAGTCATTCACTTTGGGAATCACCCACTTCTCAGGTCCCTGAGGTGGACAGACGTGCACTAGCCGAAGCTGGAGAAACTTGTCTCCGCTGGATTTTGCGTGCCTGATCCACCAAGATTGGTGTGTAACCCTCGGCAGTTCTTCCCGGCAGCAGAAAATCTGTGTATTTTGTGGTCAGGTGCTTCAGAGAAAGTGGTGCTGCTAATGCTAATACACTTCAATAAACTTTAAATTTGAGGATTTTTGACATCCCTTTTTTGTTGACCTCTTGTCCTTTTCCTCATCCATTCTCAATGTCATCACAGAACCGCACACATCCCGCTCCCAGTCTGCAGTCGTCTCTTCTCTGTCATTCGTCTTTCGCTTTCATACGTTGCTGTGACACCCATGGCTGGACTGTGATTCTGTCGGCATTATGTGGCACCACGTGGTTTGTTCATAGTGTTTGCTGCTGTAGAGTGACGATGCTGCTGATGAAGACACGGTGTTTGTAGAGCCTAGAGACACAAATGGACAAGTCTTGCTCAAGGATCTTGCCTTCTCAAATACAGAATTGTAGTGTGCCTTCTCTTGTTTTCTTTCTGTCGCTGGGGAGATGGTTTTGTGCAACGTGAAGATACTGTGTTATTGAACATCGAGTTTAACGAGATGTTAGGAGCCAAGCTAAACTACTATCGGCAGGTCATTTAATTTTTAGTTTTGCAGCAGTGATGCACAGCCTTGCACTTCACTGCTTCGCATAGCAGAGCTGTCAGCTCAAGACAGAGAGGCCAAATCTGCATTTCTGATAAACTGGAACATTCCCCACGCAATTCAGGTGAAGGTTTGGGACAGTCAGACATGCCAAAGTCAGGGTCCTATACTGACATGATCACCAGAACAGAGGATGTGATTTGAGCGTTGGGCAAAAAATTTTTTTCATGTGGGTTATAGATCATGAAAAAAAAAAAGCAAAAAAAAAAAAAAGCTGTAGTTTTGGTCACTTTGGTTCTTTCTCCAGCCTCCATGATTCAAAGGGAACAATTTATGCTTGGGGAAAAAAAGTATTTGTAGCAAAAAACTTAGATAATGAAGAACCATTGAAAAAATTGGCTTGATGGATGGGTCCATGGTGAAAACTGACCTCCTGCCCAGCCGTTTTTGTTTTTTTTTCTTTTTTTGGCAAAAGTAGTTTTTGCTGGGTAGTAGAAAAATTCTTGCCTGGTGCCATCCATATCCAGAATGTGATTCTAGCTGGTTTTCCTGATTCTGACAAAATTTGTGAAACTCTTGTGTGAAGGAAAGAACTGTGCAGCTGGAATCCAGGTCCCAGAGCAAGAGCAAGAAAACTTGTCTGCCATGGTTGCTGGTGCCTGGAATAGGGCATCCATGCAAGGGAAACAAGTTGCTGAAGGTGTTTAAGCCCAAAGTGAGTTCTTTCCCCTTGCCAATTCCTTGTAGTAAAACACAAGAAGTATAAGGTCAGCCAGCACCCAAACCCCTGTCAACCAGCAGGTTCCAGGCCATGTGGGCTCTGGCTCTGAGGAGGTGCGGCCGGCTGCTGGAGCTGCTGTGGAGCATTAACGTTGAGTCCAAGCGAGACCCACGACCTGGACCACACCACTGCGGAGATGGAGTCTGTCAGAGTCTCAGCTGCCACCTCTCCAGTGGGTGGTGGGACGTTGCCTTCTTGGCAGCTCCACCGGCACCCCGAGCACCTTGTGAAGCCAAAGGCCAGTGCGCAAACAAAATGTGTTTCTTAGCACTGTTGCTTTGCAGCACTGGCACGAAGGAAGCTCTGTTGGTTATGTTTAGCATTTTCACGCCAGGGTTGTCATTCTCAGCCCTGGTTTAGCAAATCTTTCTTCATTTGCATTTTAAGAGTTAGATAAACATTTTCCTAGCACTTTTTTTTGTCTTCTTCTTCCAAAAATGCTTGTTCCTTCCTAAAATGGCAAGCTGGAATTGGTCTAAATATTCAGTTATCTGGAATGTTTCATTGCTTGCCCCTTGCTTTTTTGCTAAAGTCTAGTCCCAGGGGTTACTCGGACCAGACCTGTTTCTCTTCTTGTTTTCTGTTTCTCTATTTGGTAGCACTGCTCCTATCATACAACTTATTTAAGGTATTTAGTGTTGCATGGTGAGCCACGCCAAGCACAGCAACCATGGCATGAGTTTTATTACCTAATCTAGATGAATAAATATTTCAGTGAATATTAAGAAAGGCTCAAACTCCAATATCTTTAAGATGAACACATAGTAGGGGAGCATGAGGACATCATTCATAGATGTTGAACTAAAAATGCTCATGGTGGCTGTGCACTGAACCATTCTCTCAGTCGTCCAGCCAGAGAATCTCTGCTGATCTCAGTGGAGATTGCTGGATGTCACTGAGAAGAGCATCTGCTCTGGTGTAGCCACAGAGGAAGATGTGTCCTTGGCGTGCAATTGCAGACTTGGTGACGTTCAGTTACACTGCAAGCGACATCCTAGCATTTCCTTGGAGCTTTGATTAATGTGAATGAGTTGCCTCACTTCCAGCATGGTCTGGGTTTTGATGCAAGTGACTGACTTTTCTGGTTTGAAAGGTGGTCCCTGACAAGTGGCAATATTTAAGAGAAGCAGCAGCACGCTGCTTGAATCTTGTGTGTGCATCTGAGTTACCTGGTGCAATGGAATTGATCTCTTCCCAGGGTGTCATTAAAAATCCATAACTGCAATTGGTTACTGTATTTTAATTACTCCACTCCCTTTTCTTTGTCTAACGCACTATCACTTTTCCATCCTCATTCTGCTTTTTGACTGTTTTAGGATGTCCCTTTCAGCACCTACATGCTTTGGGGCCAGTTGCTCGGTGGTTTGTAGCACACCACCGAGCTCCAGGGCATGCAGCCGCTGCAAGGAAAAGGCATTCTGAGCCCGTCAGAGCAGAGAGCCTGTGATGAGAGCATCACAGGGCGTGCGTGTTCGTGGTGAGTGCGGGATGCTCGGGGACTTCCTTGTTAGGCTGCTAAGTTTCCAAGAAGGGGGGATTTGATGGAAGGGAGAGGAGAGTCATGGGGCTTTTTGAGATTAGTCACCGAGTTACGCTGTGGGAAAAGAAAAGAAAGCAAGAAGCATGTCTGAGCGCAGAAGGGGAGAGCTACTGAGTGAGAGAGGGCAAAGGTGCAGAGAGGCTGAAGGAGTGAAAGTCTCTTGATGGATGAGGAAGGTTGGGCCAGCCAGTCTCAAGTTTGGGGCAGCTACTAGAGACGGGCAGTGGATTGGTAGGAGGCCTGACCAAGCCCTGTTCTCTGTCTTACCCACACGCAGTGCTGGTTCCTGTGCAGCCAGACATATCCCTGGTACTGGACCCCGTTTGTAACTGGTTTCTTTCTCTCCATTTGCAGAAGCGGAAGAGCTCTACCAGAAGAGAGTTTTAACCATCACGGGAATCTGTGTTGCCTTGCTTGTGGTGGGCATCGTCTGTGTGGTAGCTTATTGTAAAACCAAGTGAGTATAGGTGGTTGACTGACAATAACTGGTCAGAGTTTACTGAATTGTAGTGTTCATGCTTCGTGCTTTCATGCTTTTCATTCAAATGCTGTTTTAAGGAGATGATGTAGTATTCCCAGGAAGGTTTCACAAAGGACACTGTTCAAGCCATCTACCAGGCTGTGCTTCAGAAAAAAAAATGCGACCATTTGTTTATCCCCTGAACTAGCATCATTTCACCCGGCCAGGTGATGCTGCGTTACTGGCCCCCAAGCCGTCAGCTTATCTCCTGACAGCAGAAGCACCCTGATGTGCAGAAGCTGTGGGCTCAGCCAGGTACATTTCAGGGACTGTCAGAGCAGTCTTGATGGAACAAGAGGCTTGGTGACCTATTTTATGGCCAGGCTTCCCTGCCGGGACAGCACTTTTTTCCCTGTTTAGCCTGCATCTCACCAAAGTTCAGGGTGCCCACAGGACATGGAGGGTCTTGTTGAGTGAATGCCCTGCCAGGAGTACGAGTAGACTTTCCTCCTCCACTCCTGGCACCATGGTGCCCCTGGCTCCACTGCATTGTGCTGGATCTTGTCTTGCAAATGGGGAGCCTGGACCTAGCTTCCCAAATTGTCCATGATGAGAAATGTTCACTTTTTTTTTGAAAAAGCAGCAGAAGGGGGCAAATGTGGAATGCCTTGTTTCTTCCTGCTTGCAGCTTTCCACAAATGCCATTGAAACATCGTGTCCAAGGTTTGCCTTCTCTATTGTCCGTGTTCCCCAGGTGTCTCTGTGGGGAGAAAGCCTCATGAGATGTGTCTTCTTAATAGATTTTTTTCCCTTTCTGTTCTAAAGGAAGCAAAGAAAACAAATGCATAATCATTTACGGCAGAACATGTGCCCTGCCCATCAGAACAGGAGCCTTGCGAACGGGCCAAGCCATCCACGCTTGGATCCTGAGGAAATCCAAATGGCCGATGTAAGACCTTTTGTCTCCATCTCCCTGCATGTCACTGAGCGCCGATTTTGTGTCGGGGATTTGGCGTGGGCGTGTGTGCTGACACACCTGTGTGCGTGAGGAGCAAAACACTAACAAACTTGAACAAAAAGATGAGATTCTGCGCAGAAACATTTCCAAGATCAACATCTGAAGGAAAATGTGATTTATTTTGAAGCACAGGATGAGATTAGGGCACTTGGGACAGGCTTGTTTTGGTGAATCAAGTGTGATCCTGCTTTCCTCTAAGAGACATGTTCCCGATGTTTCCTGTTTATTAAGCCATCCTCTCAAGCCCCACTTTGCAGTGTGACAAATGAGATTGATGCGGCAGTGGCCAGAGTGACCGTGGTGACCATGTCATGTTGATACACATTATGGTGCTCTGGTCAGCAGCCCAGATGTGAGGTGTCCTGGGCAAGGTGGGATGCCAGGGTCATGCTGATGAGAATGATCTAAGACTTCAGGATTGGATCAAGAAAGGTGGTTCAGCCACTCTCACAACTTCAGTCATGTGAGATTCCCATGAAATTCCGCAAACTCCTTTGGACCATCAAAGGGCTTAAGTACCTTGCTGGATGAAGGCTTTGAAAGGGGTCAGAAAAAGGGAGCGCGGAGAAGTACTGATGGAAAATGAGCACAGTGAATCAGTTAAAAGCTCTGCTGGGTCACCCTTTGGATGTTAAAATTTATCTGGGTTGAATCCCAGCCATGAAGGAAGAGGGAAAGGCAATTTCTAAACCACAGCTTTCTGGCCCCAAATTACTGACTCCCCCACAGAGCTTAGTGTCCCTGTGAGAAGCAGTGCTTCTTGTTAGCTGAAAGAATATCTCTGCATAAATATTTGGATTACACCTGGTGTTTCTGTAGGAGTCCTATCTCTGGCAGATCTCATGTGGTTGTCCTTTTGCTGGTACTCTGTACAACTACCCATGAGCACAGCAGATTTTCTGCTCAGTAGCTGTATGGGGTACCACTGTCCTCTGGGGAACCCCTGGGCTCTTCATACCTATCTGCAGCCCCTGTGACACGACTCTTTTACAATGTTCAAAGTGCAGGGGCAGAGAAGAGCCTCCAGCCTCCTTGCCTCTTTCCGTGGGGTGCAGAGCTGCCACATTCGCTCAGTCCTCATCTGACTTCACCAGAAATAATCAAGCCAGCTGAATGTGGCAGCGTTGGCAAGCTGGTGGCTGATCTGTGTGATTCTTCCTATTTTACAGTACATTTCTAAGAATGTTTCTGCCACCGAGCACGTGATCCGAAGGGAAACAGAGACGACCTTTTCGGGAAGTCACTCCTGCTCCCCATCTCATCACTGCTCCACAGCCACTCCAACATCCAGCCAGAGGTGATGTATATCATTTTCCCCTGAACTTTCCCCAACTGTTTGCCTTAGGAAGTTGTGAGATTCAAGGCCAGTATAAGGGTTTCCTTTCATCTTCCTTTCTGTTACTGATGTTTGGCACTACACTGGTGTGCAGGGCATGTTGACACTTCAGGTCTTTGCTGGCATTAATAGTGAGAGGTGTGAAAAGGTGTGATCCTTGATGTGCAGCGAGGTGCCAGCAGGAACCTGGAGCTCTGACATATCTGGAAGCTAGGAGGAAATGAAGTTGTGCTTTCATGCTTTGCACAGGCACAAATGGGAGGGAGCATCTAGTTTTGCAAGTTGTTTGCCACCGCATTGGACACCTGCAATAATTCATTAAGCACACACAGTTTATTCGTTTCATGCTTCATATATTTCGAATATATTTGCCTTGTGGAAGATAAAATAACACAAAATGTTTTGGCCCACTCCTCAAAGTTAGGTGTGACTTGGGACTCACAGTTTTTCACCAGAAAAATCACTCCAGTGCTGTTTATCACAGTCTGGAAAGTTGTGTTAGAATCTCAGTCTCTGAAGTGGTGGCACGTCTTTCACTGGAAGTCTTTCTGAACCTCTCAGGAAAACCAGGGCTAACAGGAAAGTACCAGTAATTCTCACTACACAGGATGAGGCATATTCTTTTTTAATGTTTAAAAATAACGATCATGGGAAGGCTTGGAAGGTGAAGCTCTCATGGTTTTTGACACCATTTAAATTGCAGATGGAGTTTCCCTACTTTTACAATGTCTGGGAAGGTTCTTCAGGTGCACGAGAGAAGGTCCTGTGCTGTTTTGAGTTTGGTAGTTCGGGTTCTTCCTCCTACGTAACTCTTGTGTTTCCTCCTGTAAGTGACGGCGTTTCCCTAGGAGAATACTTGCCTTTGAAATGTGACTGCGAGGGGCCATGTCTGCAGCCTGTCAATGATGATCACATTGTATTGACTTTATAAAGCAAAAGATGTTCTGGCTTATTTACTTCATTAGCCCGATGTGTTTGTCTCCATTTGTCCAGGAAGCAATGAATCCTTTCAGCTAAAGCTTAAAGATAGTTCCTGGTAGATTTTGTCAGGGTTTGAGCATTTATCAGGGATGAGCAGGTACGCTTGGTATACAACGTGTCAGATCAACTTCAGATACTGAACTCAGGTTTTCAGGTGAATTCCTCCCCAGACTCCCCTGGCAAAACCACGAAAAAGTAGAGAGGGAGCCAAGAATGACTTGCAGGGCTGGAAATTATTGTCTTTGTCCAGGGAGCTAGACAACGTGTTTTCCACGTTTTTTTTTTTGATTTGTAGACTGCAGCCCAACCCTAGGTACATGTGTGCAGCCTTGAGCCAGGCACACAGAGGCTCCTGCAGAGCTGTCTTGCAGGACTTCTGTGCTGACTTCAAAGTCCTGGGATGCTGGGGCCATCCCTGGGCACCTCCTGAAGACACAAAGATGTGTCTGGAGGGCAGTGTTAACCCAGGACAGCTGTGGGGAGGCACCTACCTTACATAGCTTCTGGTCCTGGCTACCTGCCACCTAATCTTCTGAGTCAAGTGCAGCAAGCAGGTGTTTCTTGAAGTCATGCCAGAGGCAAACTACTGGCAGAATCAGGCTCCATTTCACTTGATCAGCACCTCTAATGAGGACGCTGTTTGAAGTTATAAATGAGTCTGGTGGTTGCAGCTGAGCATGTGCCTGGAGCCATCAATAATTAACAAGTTCTTGGGAAGTCTTAATGAGGCCTGCTCTCCTCGGCAAACCCCCACCCCAAATCCTCTGCCGGCACAGCTCCACCTGGCACGGCTTGGGAGCTCAGAGCTGTTGCTCCGAGGGGTCACATATATCTGCTATGGCGAGGGGTCGGCCTGGTGGCCACGGTGTGGCTCAGCCCTCCGTGTGTCCCCAGTGAGTCCTTGCAGGATGTCTTCTTTGCACCGAGACTGGGGCAGGTGGAGCTCCAAGTGCTCAGCAAGGTCTAGCCAACATGTCATAGTTTTTGTCTAGCACCTTGAAAGTGTTTTGCTGCCAAGATCTTTTATAAACCAGGGGAAACTGAACATATGGATCTACCTGTGGCATGCTTTTCTCTGCTGATGACAAAGCAATTTTGAGTAGTCTTTATTTGTCTTGGTCCTCTCGGGTAGCATTTCTGAAGGGGCTGTCACCTGGCAACACCAGCAGCACATTTGAAGATCCTTTGTGGACTAGCCTTGGCACAACAGGTGCTTTGCTCCACACCAAGAATGCTTTGCAAGCACAAAATGGAATTGCTCTGACCTCCCTCCAGAGGCTTTCCCATCCTGCCCCCAGCCATCAGGAAGTGGTGTGATGAACACCCAGGGTGCACTGGTTTGCCTTTCTTTACCCTCTAATCGTGTCTCCAAGACAGCAAAGAAAGGCCAATCAAAGGCAGAATTGGGAAGTTGCCATCCCTGGCTGGAGGTGTCCTAATGAAAGAGAAAGGGGATGCCTAAGAAGAGCAGGGTGTGAGCTGTGCCTGTGTGCAGCTCTTTGGAGAACACCTTGGTGGGGATTCCTTGCTCACTGTCCATGTGGGTTTTCATCTGCAGACATGAAAGCCACACCTGGAGCTTGGAGCGGACGGAGAGCCTGACTTCAGATTCCCAGTCTGGGATAATGCTGTCCTCAGTGGGAACCAGTAAATGCAACAGCCCTGCGTGCGTGGAGGCACGGGCTCGCCGCGGGGCTGCCTTCTGCATCGAGGACTCGCGGAGGTCCATGACGCAGTATCGTGACTCGGTGGATTCTCTGCGGGACTCGCCGCACAGTGAGAGGTGAGTCCCCACTGCTCAGTGCTGCCCCAGCACAGCAGAGGCGAGCCATGCCTTCCGTGCAGGACACAAAATTGTTTACTTCTCCTCAGCCCTGGAGCATCGGTCCTGTGGTGGCACTGGGGAAACTCCAGCTCTAGTACTGCCAGAGGAAGCTGCTACCCCAGGAGGCCCCTCTGGTAGGGGCAGCAGCAAGCACTGCACACTGCTCACCTGGTGGCAACAGGTTTGGAGCCGAAGTTGTCTGGGTGCTGGGGGTGCCAGGGAAATAGGCAGCTGATAAGGGTGGGAAGTACTTGGCTGCAGTCAGCAACTGGTGAAAAACTGTTTGAGAGCATGCTCCAGGCAGCTTGGTGGGCTGGCAGCTCAAGCAGGGTCTGTCCCTCAGGTATGTGGTGGACAGATGAGCGTCCTCAGCGTAGTCGTGGATGGCCTGGTGAGCAAGGGTGTGTGTGTGTGGGCACAGCCTCAGGACAGGGCTCGGCATGACCCAGCTTTCTGAGGAGCACAAGTGCGAACGGAGACACCATCAGCCGGTGAGAGGAAGACGAAGTCATCGTCTTCCCCCATCTCATGGGAGAAGCACATGGGTAGCTGTGGGTGACACTAGGTGGCCATGGGGCCACTTTCAGGCAGTTACTGTTCAAGGTAGTAGCGCTTATCCATGGGGCAGAAGAGAAAGGGAGCATCTCCTGTTCTCTCGTTCCCATCCCCAGTCTGTTCAAGCAGGCTGACCTGGCTTGTACAGATATTGAACTCAGGTTTTCAGGTGAACTTCTCCCCAGACTCCCCTGGCTAGACCTCCAACAAGGAGAGAGGGTGCCGAGAAGGACTTGCAGGGCTGGAAATGACTGTCTGCTGGAAATGACAAGACACGCATGTAAAAAGGCACAAGAAAAGCCAGGGAGCCTGGTCAGCCTAAAATGAGCAGAGACACTGTTGAGGGGAAATCAAATCTGCTCCTTAGGAAGAGGTGATGTTGGATAGACCTGATGCTAGACCAGACCTGAGTTGCCACACTGGAGTAGATGAAAGCAGTCGATGCTTTTCTGAGACACAAAATTTTTGCTAAGTCAAAGGAACCAGTGCCCAGGCTTTCCCCATCTGCGGCCCGAGCCAGGGGAAGGCATTTCAGGGACCTTCCTTGGAGACAAGCCTGGCAGCTCCAGAGGGAACAGAGCATCTGGCAGGCAGGGAATTCTCAGCTCAGGCTGCTGGGAGACGCTCCAAGGTTTTCAGTGATGCAGAGTGGGAATTGCACGCCGAGTCCCTTGGGAGAGGCAGTCCTGGCATACCCCGTGCGTGGTGTTCAAGCACCCACCAAAGCCAGCAGCTCATCCTTACTCTGCATGGTGGTGCAAGGTCCCTCCGCCTGGTTCCCCAGGAGATGCTGAGGCTCTGGGAGGATGCTGGAGGCCTCTGGGGTCCCTGCAGCTGGAGTTTTTTGGGAGTGTTCTGTGCCCAAACGGAGGTGTTGCTTTTCTTTTTTCCAGGTACGTGTCCGCCCTGACTACACCAGCACGCCTGTCGCCCGTCGACTTCCACTACTCGATGGCCGCGCAGGTGCCCACGTTCGAGATCACCTCCCCGAACTCGGCGCACGCCGTCTCCCTGCCGCCGGCGGCCCCCATCACCTTCCGTGTGGAGGAACAGCAGCCCCCCCTGCCGCGCTACCA